CGGGACTAAAGGTCTAACCCTTTAGTCCCGGTTGGTGCCACGAACCGGGACTAATGGGCATCGCACCCTTTAGTCCCGGTTCGTGGCACCAACCGGGACTAAAAGGTCCAGACGAACCGGGACAAATGGCCCACGTGGCCCCTAGACGCACAAACCGGGACTAATGCCCCCATTAGTCCCGGTTCTAGACTGAACCGGGACTAATGGGCTAACCCGGGGTGGACCAAAGCCCTCTTTTCTACTAGTGTTGGTTCACAAATATAAAATATCCTAATTCTTTTGCGAATCCATGTTTTAGTGTGTTTGCTCACTCATTTCAGTCTGTATATAGTTCATACTAAAATATCTAAAACATCTTATAGTTGTGAACGGAGGAAGTAGGTGACAGAGGGATGATCACAAATAGGATAGAAAACAGGCCACATTCAAACTACACTAAAAACAGATATGCACAAGTGAAATAAGACGACACGGCGGCAGCTACGAACACCTGCCGACACCGATAGGGCCGTCTCCGTAGGGCCTGGTTCAACGGGTTTCCATGGTGGACGCGTGTCCAGGGCCGTGACAGTGTGCGGCTTGCCGAAGGATGCCGAGATCCATGGATCCAGGGCTGGTGCTCATACAATAGTGTGTTGGTCGTGCTTGCTGGGGGTGACCCATGTCCAGAGCGACAACTTTGACCACCTATTACCACCAGGAGGGTCACCTCCGCGAACTCGGGCTCCTCCACGGAGAGTGGGACGTTGCATGCGGCGTGTTGACTACCGGCTTCACACGTTGTAGACACTGATGTTCTTCATGGCGGCATGCCCCCGGCTCAGGCAGAGTCGGTGCTATTTCTCGTTGGAAATGATGCAGAGGCATGCCTGGTACGGCCGATGATGGACACATGTGGTGTGGTGGATTTACGGGGCACTATTGTGTTGATCCGGCCCGACTTCATCGGCTCTGATCGAAGATGGGAAGTACGATGCATATGGAGGTTATGTCGAAGGCGTGCGCACGCAATGCGGGGGTTAATCCATGCCGGCGCGGGGAGTATCTACTCGGAGTCACTGGGGTGAATCTTGGCTGTTATGGGCCTTCAGCATGAGCCCACTTTACGGGGTGCTTCTGGAGGCTATGCTGATAACGCATGTGCAGAGCAGTGATTGCTCCGTGGTGGCACGAAGGGCTTCTTCTAGGAGCATCAAGCCAACATCCGGGTCCGAGCAGGCCTACAACATATGGGCACAATTAGGCGGCGCATCGGCCGGGTTTGGTGGTGGAGTTGCGGGTTGCAGAGGTCCGATATCTCAAGCATAGAGGGACACATACCTGGCGAGTGGTTGATGCCGCGTGGATCAACGACGTGCTGCCCTCCTAGTAATCTCCAGTGTTCTCAACGGCAGCGATGCTTGCTGAATCGAATCTGGAAGGTTTTGAAGATGTTGATACAGTCTTGTCCTTCGTGGATGGCCTCGGTTTTTTAAACCGATTTGATTGGCATCAATGCGAAGATTTTTTTAATAATTAATAATACGTGGTTGTATACATCTGTTAGGAGATTAGGTCATTTTTGTTTAAGCACTGGTGGAAAAAAGGCCTTTGGTCGCGGTTCGCAACTGCCATTAGTCGCGGTTGCGCAACCGCGACCAAATAAGCGCGACTAAAGCCCCCCACCTTTAGTCGCGGCTGCTTAAGAACCGCGACTAACGGCCCGTCCACGTGGGCGCCAGGCGGCCGTCGGGGCGGAGGACCTTTAGTCGCGGTTCTTCTGGCCAACCGCCACTAAAGGCCGCCACAGGTTTAGGGTTTTAGCCCCCCCCCCCTAAACCTATTTTCTGTTTAATTTGTATTGTTTTATTTCTTTTGTGCTTTATTTTAATTTTGAAGGAGTTTCATATATTCTACGGTACTACATACATGCATATGAATGTACAATTTCAAATAAATTTGAAATTAGAACCAAAAAGAATTCAAGAGGAATATACAATATATATTCAATATCATCGGATGACCATATACAATTTTGAACAAGTTTCCATACATGATTTAATGCATATAAAGTTCTACGTCCTCGTAATAGTGTTCTCCTTTAGGATGGAGGACTTCCCTGCTGAACCATCCAGCTAGTTCCTCTTGAAGTGGTCGGAAGCGAGCTTCTGGACTAAGCATCCACCGGAGGTTATTCCTCTGAGCATTGGTATCACTCGGAACCCGCTCAGAGGTGTATCTCCGGATCATCTCACA